CCAAGGCTGTGATTTTTTTAATAGCAAGGACTGACACTTGGGAGTCCTGGAGTCTGGGACAAAGAAGGAAGGAATTTCCAGGCGGGAACTGAGGACCTGAACATGTATGGAAGTGCAGGCTGTGCTGTCACTGTGTTACCTCTGTACCACCCACCATGTGCTAAAGCCTGCAGGCATCTCCAGCACCAGAGGTTCCAGTGAGGACAGTAACTGGGTGCATATATGTGCATTTCTTGGATCAACACCATTCCAGCAACCTCTTTGGTCCCTTTATGGACAAATCTAAAAGTGTCATGATTAACAGGACCCCAAGACCTGATGGCAGCATGCTGAGCCTATCTCTGCATTTCCATTCAATCATTTCTCCTGGCAGGATAAGATTAAAAAGGGAAAAACAAGAGGACAAATAAGCTCCAACTCAACATAATTTTAGAATTCTGTGGAGCAAAGAAAGGTTAATTTTTCACATCCGCCTCTGCCGGGGCTTCAAAACCTCGTTTAAATTCTTTACAAGATTTTGTAAAAAATGCTTTTATTTATTGACCTAGTTGCAAGTCACTTTATTTTAGCTCCTCATAGAAGCAATCTAAGGCACCTGAATGTTCATCCTGCCCTGGGCAAACCTCTTGCAGAGTTTTCAGAGCTCCACCACAAGTGGAGCACACTTCAGAGAGGTGGAGAAGAGCAGAATGAGAGAGCAACACTTTTTTTTTTTCCCTGTTTTTTTTTTTTTTCTTCTTTTTGTCAGTGGTTCCAGCTTCTGTATAGTCAGCAGATTTTGTCTTGGAATTTCTTAAATCTGTATGTTCCCACAAAAGGCAAAAAAATATAAAAAATAAAGATGCAGTCTGAGCTCCAGCAGTTGATTTCCTCTCACCTCCTCACTGCAGTGCTCCTCCACAGCCCTCGCAGAATGTCAGGGGTTGGCAGGAATCTCTAGAGATCATCAAGTCCAACCCCTCTGCTAGAGCAGGACCAAAACTAGGGCAGGTCACTCAGAAAGGCATCCAGACAGGTCTGGAAAGTCTCCAGAGAAGGAGCCCCACACCCTCTCTGGGCAGCCTGTCCCAGGGCTCTGTCACCCTCACAGCAAAGACGTTCTTCATCATGTTGAGGGGTAACTTCCTGTGCTGGAGTTTTAATCCATTGCCCCTCGTCCTGTCACAGGGCACAAGTGACAAGAGCTTGTCCCTGCCTTCCTCATGCCCTCATATATTTATAGACATTAATTAGATTCCCTCTCAGTCTTCTCCTCTGTAGACTGAACAGCCTTTCCTTGTAAGCCTGAGACACTTCTGCCAGCTACCGATGGGGAGCTCAACCCACCTCCCATCTGGGTGCTGTCCTAGGGGCTGTCCTGGCTTCTAAAAACTCTGAGAGGTAATGAAAGAATAATTAATTGTTGTAATATACACTGCTCTTTCTCTGGATTTTGATCCTTCCCTCTGCTGGGGTTGCAAAATGACTCAGAAATTTAGAATGCTGTGGTTGTGTCAGATGGAATAGGTTGCCCAGGGAAGTCATGGAAGCCCTATCCCCGGCAGTGTTGAAGGGCAGGTTGGATGGGGCTTGGAGTAACTTGGTCTGGTGAGAGGTGTCCCTGCCCATGCGGGGAGATTGGATCTAGATGATCTTTAAGGCCCCTTCCAATCCAAACCAGCCTCTGAGTCTCTGATTCTATATACAATTAACATTGCAGTCAAGTACACAATTAGTGCCACAGCCAGCACTGGGCAAGGCCACCCGACAATAACCAGGCCTTGAAGAAGGCAATTCATAAAGAGGTTTTGAGGGTGTCTCATCTAAATCATCAACTTGGCAGAGAAGACCTGAGGTCTAAATGGATAACTGGACCTAAGGAATGCAGGAGGTGACAAAGAACCAGACTCAAGAAGATTGATGTCTGAACCAGTCTTGGGCAGTTAAGAGCTGTAGAACTTGCACCCAGGTCAAAAAGACCCCTGCCCAGGTGAAGACCCTTCCCCTAAGCTTGTGTGATAGCAGAAAAAGTGATGTAACCATATGCTAGCTAGATGTAAATCACTAACCAAACACTCTAAGGAGGATGGACGTGGAAGCTTGCAAACTTTATGGTTCTGCGTACAAATATATCCTGAAAAATCTCATTTGGGTGAGCTTGACTTGTGGGAAGGCACCAACACTCAGCTTTGTACACACCTGCAATAAATCACAGTGTCTCCTTCCTAAAGGTGGTCTCTTTATCCGTGTTTCAGGAGCCATCTTAAAACAGTCACACTGGCAGGGAAGGGTGACAACCTGCCCCCAGGCCAGCTGAGGGCATGCAGGGCTTCCTGCAAAAGGAGGGAACACAGTGTGTTTTGCTGTGCATTATCCCTGCTGCATTTCTGGCACCAATTCCTTGCAGCTTTTTGGCAAAGCCTGTGTGATCCCTGCAGCTGCCTGGGTTTTCAGAACAGCTTTTGTCATTTCTGGATGGGGCTCTGAGCAACCTAATTTAGTGGAAGGTGTCCCTGCCCATGCACTGGGGTTGGATCTAGATGATCTTTAAGGCGCCTTCAAACTCAAACCAGTCTGTGATTCTATTGATCTCCAGGCTCAGGCAGGATGCAGCCATCTCTCTAGAAAGCTGCTGCCCAGTGCTGTCCTGGCCCTGATGAAACACAAAATCATAGAATCCCAGACTGGTTTGGGTTGGAAGGAACCCTGAAGATCACCTAGTTCCAACCTCCCTGCATGTGCAGGGACACCTTCCACTAGATTAGGTTGCTGAGAGCTCTGTTCAACCTGGCCCTGAACACCTTCAGGGATGGGGCAGCCACAACAGAGGCATAAAAATGTATTTGTACTTTGGTTTCAGCAGGGACCAAAGAAGAGACTGTGGTGTCTCAGGAAGGATAAACATTAGCACAGGTTGGCTCTGAAATGCTGCCAAGGAGAGGTGGCACAGGGCCACAAACGGACTGTAGCAAAGCACCTCCCAAGGTATTGATGTATCCCAAACTGCTGCCACACAATCCCCATTTTCTTCCTTCTGCCTTCCCAGTATGGGGTGGGACCCCCATATGCATCTGTGCATGTCCCTGCTCGGCTATGTGGAAGGAACCCTGAAGATCACCTAGTTCCAACCTCCCTGCATGTGCAGGGACACCTTCCACTAGATTAGGTTGCTGAGAGCTCTGTTCAACCTGGCCCTGAACACCTTCAGGGATGGGGCAGCCACAACAGAGGCATAAAAATGTATTTGTACTTTGGTTTCAGCAGGGACCAAAGAAGAGACTGTGGTGTCTCAGGAAGGATAAACATTAGCACAGGTTGGCTCTGAAATGCTGCCAAGGAGAGGTGGCACAGGGCCACAAACGGACTGTAGCAAAGCACCTCCCAAGGTATTGATGTATCCCAAACTGCTGCCACACAATCCCCATTTTCTTCCTTCTGCCTTCCCAGTATGGGGTGGGACCCCCATATGCATCTGTGCATGTCCCTGCTCGGCTATGGTGCTGTTACTGACATCTGGGGTGGCAGCAGCCACCACCCTCTTACCTGGCACAGCTCTGGTGCACTGATCTTCAGACCTTCTTCCTTGGTCCTTTAAATCCTCGTGTGGCACCTTGTCCAAAGCAAATTGTGGATGGGACCCTGGAAAGGGAAGCAGGTTTTAACACAGATCACCAGGTCCTGCCTCTCACAGGACCACCAGGACACTTCATGCCTCATGTAGCACTTCAAGCTCTCAGAGTGGGAAGAGCAGGACATGGGAATCACCACAAAAAACGGGTGAAACACCACTCTGCTTTCCTATTTATTCTGTACATTTTGCACTTCAGTCCTCGAGGCCTCTGCCCTCTTTAGAACCAGGCGTAAGGTGCTACAGAATGTAACACAACCTTAGGCAGTTGCAGTGTTTTTTTTGTGGGGAACACATGGTTGTGAAGAGCAGAAGCAGCAGGAGGAGTGTGGCCTCTCAGCAGCAAATTCTCCCTTTGATCTGCAGCATCACAGCAAGGTCAAGGGACAATTTCTTTCTGGTTTGTAAGCTGCAGACAAAGCAGTGAAGCTGAAAATGTCACCTGTTTAGGGGCAGGATTTTGTCAGGCAAAGCACAACCTAGAAAAGCTGCAGACTCAACTGGCTGTGTGTCCCACTGACCAACTGGAGAGCAGCTCTGGGGAAAAGGGCCTTAGGGTCCTGGTGGACAACAGGCTGACCATGAGCCAACAATGTGCCCTTGTGGCCAAGAAGGCCAATGCCATCCTGGGGTGCATCAAGAAGAGTGGGGCCAGCAGGCCAAGGGAAGTTCTCCTCCCACTCTGCTCTGCCCTGATGAGGCCACCTCTGGAATACTGCATCCAGTTCTGGGCTCCCCAGGTCACTGAAGGGAGCCCAGAGGAGGGCCACTAAGGTGCTGAGGGGACTGGAGCACCTGCCCCGTGAGGAGAGGCTGGGAGAGCTGGGGCTGTTCAGCCTGGAGGAGACTGAAAGGGGATCTCATCAACATTATCAATATCTACAGGGGGTGTCATGAGTATGGTAGCCTTTTGATGGCTACTTGCATCTCATACAGGTTGCACAGCCCATGATGGGGGGGGTTCAGAAGTCAAGCCAGCATTAGGCAATTCAGTTTTAACTTTTTGGAAAGATTTTGTTAAAAAAAAACCAAAACACAAAAAACACAACAACCAACCAGAAAAAAAAAAAAGCCTGCTCTAGCCTTGCAAAAACCCAAGATTCAGAGCAGGATGTTCCCCTGCTTTATTTTTGCCTTGCCCTGGGAGCACAAACAGCTCCAGTGAAACACTGCCCTGAATCAGCTGAGACGGGAAAGGGTTACAAAGTAGGAACAAAATGTGCTTGAGTCTTTTAGGACAGAGCTCTGCACCATTCTACAATACCCTGAGAAGAGAGTATGGCTAACAGGAACTGGCTGACACGACTTCCATGGCATACACACAACCTTAACACCTTCCTTAACCTTCCCTCTTTTGAAAATAATTTTTAAAATACATATGGAAATCCTGTCCCTTTTATCCTCAACACAAACACCCTGAGCTGTGCTGCACTAGGCACTGCACATGCAATTCAGATCATATGGTCCCAGCCCCAGAGGTTTTTGGGCGTGAATGACAAGACAGACCTGGATTTAAAGAGTCGCTTCTCTGGCACTGAGGGGACAGGGCTGGCAGGAGGCTGAGGGATCTTCATGTCCTCACTGGGCCCCACTTCCATGGAGTCCACTTGGAAGGGCTCTGAGGTCTCCACACTCACATCCATGGGCATGCTGGCACTCTGCTGGATGGGAGAGCTCACACACTTGGGGCAGCTGAAATGAGAAAATGTTATGTCCTGCCATGTAGGCCCAGAGCAGGGTGCTGGTAAGGTGCTGCATGATGGAACAGGTGAGTGAGTTACTGCCTGGAGGGACAGAGCTGAGGCTGCACCCAGCCCCAGGAGAGCTGTGTGACAGGCTGGGGGGTGCTGGTACTTGAGCATTCCCGCTGATTACAGCCCACAGCTCTGTCCCCAGGTTCTCTCTGCAGTCCATGAGGTGGAACTCATTCAATAGGCTCAGAGGGTCTGCGTCCAGTTCTGGGGTCCCCAGCTCAAGAGGGACAGGGATCTACTGGAGAGAGTCCAAGGGAGGCTACAAGGATGATGAAGGGACTGGAACATCTGTCTGATGAGGAAAGGCTGAGAGACCTGGGGCTGTTCAGTCCAGAGAGGAGAAGACTGAAGGGGCATCTAATTAATGTGTATAAATAACCTGAGGGCTGGGCGTCAAGAAGGCAGGGACAACCTCTTGTCACTCATGCCCTGTGACAGGACAAGGGGCAATGGATTCAAACTCCAGCACAGGAAGTTCCACCTCAACATGAGGAAAAACTTCTTTACTGTGAGGATTGCAGAGCCCTGGGACAGGCTGCCCAGAGAGGCTGTGGAGTCTCCTTCTCTGGAGACTTTCCAGACCTGTCTGGATGCCTTTCTGAGTGACCTGCCCTAGTTTTGGTCCTGCTCTGGCAGGGGGGTTGGACTCAATGATCTCCAGAGGTCCCTTCCAACCTCTGACATTCTGTGATTCTAGGGCTGGACTAGAAGGCTCACACCAGGCCACCCAAGCAAGCTGTGAAAGACTTCACAGATTCAGTGCTCTGCCCCTTTGGGCACCCATCCCAGGGCCACACCATCCTGCCAGGCAAGGTATTTTCTCCATCCTATCCCCCAGATCTATGAGGTATTGGATAACATCAGTTCTTCACCCTGTGGTGAACAGATTGTGAAATAAGTGGCCAGCTAAAAAAGCTGTTCACCAGTCTTACAAAGCCTCCCTCTGCTCTACTTGAGCTTCTGGGGAACAGGAACATTGCAAAGGGTTGGAGAGCAAGGCAGGAAACATGCACAAAGCAACACAGAGAGGTGATGGGCTTTGTGTCTTCACTTGAGGAAGTCAAGACACTTTAGCTTCTACACATGAAGGGAACAGAGTCTGGAGCGACACAGGGAGAGAAACAAGATGTTCTTCAACATTAAGAAAGATGTGCTTCAAGACTTGCAAGTTTACCCATTCTTACAAGCAGCAGAAAGCATAATTTCTGAGCCTCTTAGGACATAAGCTTGCTTATTTGGGAAAGGGAGTCAGACAGCAGAGAAGCACAACCTCTGCAGGGCAACACCAGCTGTGCCATGGCAGCTCTGCAGTTACCTTTTCACTTTCTTCGGTCTATCAAAGCGAAAGTCAGCAGGGTACAGGTGCACAGTGACCAAGTGATCCTTCCTCTCCTTGCTGCTCCTGAACTTCTCTGCACAGCCCTCTACCAAACACTTGTACTGAAAGGCAGGGGGGAAACAGATGTGACTGGAAGAGTCACAAGTGTCAGCAAGTGGCAAGCAGTGTCAGCTGGGAAGGTGGGTGCCCTCCCCAGGCAGGCAGTCTCTAAGGGTGCCAGTGAAGGGGCCAGGGTGACTCACCAGTCACTCACCATGTTTTGCTTCTCGGCCATTAGCTGGAAGAGGGAGTCGTGCCACTCCAGGATGTGAATGTCCAAGAGGTGTCCCGAGGGGAAGGAGCGCTTGCAGAAGGAGCAGACGTTCCTGTGCAGGGTGTTGTAGTGGTGCTCGTAGCCCTCCAGTGTGTCAAACACCTGGCAGCACCCGGAGATGTGGCAGCTGAATTCAGACACCCTGCAGGGAAATCAGGACACTCACAACTTAAATCCGAGCCTTAATTTAAGCTGCACATACGCCTCCAGATAACTTATTTGTAGCATTTTCTGTGAATACTTAAATGAAATGAAACATGCAACGGAACAAAGGTGATGATGGTACTGGCGGCTGGAAACTCTTACTTTCCATTATGGCTTCAGCATCCTGCACATTATCAAGCAGCAATGAGAGAAATCAGCTGTTTGACCTTCAAGTTGCAGCTGCAGATTAAAACTTTGTGCCAACATTGCTCAACAGGCACCTGCAGAATAACCTCACACCGCCTTTGAAGTATTTCCTAAATTTTAAATACGAAGGTAAGGTTTTAAAGAAAAGATGAAGATTCCCTCCCAAGCTGAGCTGTCCTAAGCAGAGCTGCCTGCACCACACGGCTCTGACACTGTTTTGACTGGGTACACAACA